ATATATATATTATTAATAAAGAATATATTACATAAAAGAGTACATCAACTCAAACAAACAAAGTTAGTAGAAGCGCTAAACATACTCATCTTAAATTCTAACATATTAAGCTAACTTACTCTTTTCCTTTCTTTAATACCTCATAATATTCTTCAAAGATCCTAAGATCTTCATTGCACATGTTTGGGTTTCGTTTGTACACGCGATGAACCAATGAACACAAATTTCTGAACACTCAAATTATCAGTACTAATAAGTCCTTTTCTGTCTAGCTAGTCTCAACAACGCTTTGCTCTATATTTTCTTGCACTGCCTTTTCAACCTCAAGTGCAACAAAGCCTTCCTCTATCTACACTTCTGGAACTATCAACGGATCTCCAATATGATATGTTTTTCTACTTTTTGTACATTTTACAAATGCACATATCAGCGTATTTTCTCCATATTTTTTAACTAGTACAACTTCAAAAGGAGTTGCTTTTCGATATGTGATATTCTATATGTCTTATTGACGTTTCATTTCCATATAGGAGCGACACTATACCTGGGATTCATATCACTTGTATCATGGAAATGTCTCAATTCGTATCTCTCACCAACAAAAAAATGTGCTACCAACGTCATTTAAAAGAGATTGTCTAATTTATTCTAGTAAAACTATGGTTAGAGCAATCTTACATGACAGATGATTGATATAATTTCTAAATATTTAAAAAGAACATAAAAAATGTTACAGTAATTTTCCATTTTTTTATAAGCTAGAAAATCTCCATTTAAAATGTATTTTCTATGATCCATATTGCCTCAAGAACTATTCTTAAATTAATTGGTGCATAACTAAAAATTATTGAACAGTCAGTGTAATTTTAGTCACATAATACAAAATATATATACAGGTAGTAACTGGTGGAAGGTTTTCAGAAAGAAAAAAAAAAAGAAAAGGATCGGTGGAAGGACATTATTTCTTAAAGAAAAAGGATATTTTCAGACCCCTTTCATAAAAATAAATAAGTATAATAACAAGTATTATTATTTTGAGTTACTTTTACTTTATTACTTTTTTATGAGTATCCAAATCTGCATCGCATAACTAGAAAAAAAAAATAGTAACACAAAATTCTTTTCTTAGATAACCAGCAAGTCTTTCCTCGTGTCACAAGGGTGTTGTTGCCCCTTTAACTAACACTAAAAGAAACTACACATATAATATTAAACAATCGACACAAACAAGTAAAAAATTTAAGTAAATTCGTTAAGACCTACTTATGAAGGTCAATAAGTAGACGTTTCATTGTTAATTTTAAAATTTATTTTTTAATTAAACTATTTTAATGTTAGATTAATCATATTCGAACATTCATTAAGACGTGTAGATTCGTATACAGATTGAGTTAAGCTGGTCCAACTTATATCAAGTCTAGTAAAATTGATACGTGAGTTAAGTTATCTTAAGTATAACTTGAATTAAGTTAATTCAAGTTCAAGTCGAGTTTCTTTAAGTTGAATCAAGTTGGTTGGAACCAAATTGACACAAGTCAGGACAAAGTTATGTTCAATCTAAATTGAATTAGGTTCAAGTTAATTGAGTCTAGTCTGACTTAAGTAGACTGCCTAACTCTACTAAAGTCAATATAGATTTGTGTTGGGCCTAAACATTAAGTTGAGATGGTGTTAAAATGAGTTGGATTAATCTCATTTCAAGTTGAGTGATTGGTCTAATTAGGATTAGTCACACTAAACAAAATCAAGTCGAATTTGACTAAATTCTAAGTTCAACTTTATGTTTAACCAATACATAAAACATACATAAGTTAACATTCAAGTTAAATTTGGATCTCATAATTGATTATGTCTCTCACTCATTCTAATTGATAAAGTAGTTTTAATTTGATTTAAATTAAATTAAAAAAATCAAAATCAATGTTTTTATTGGTAAAAAGTATATTTTATTTGATTTGGATTTAACATAATTTATTAGTTAAAATAGATCTAAATTTTAAATTCGATATAAGTTATTGGATGGGAGGATTTTGAAAATTACAACACCTTAGCTCTATATAGCCAGCAATCGATAATGTTTTGAGTCTGCTGTCATTTTTACTTGGCGATGGTCATGTGACACTTAACCAAAACCAAAGACTACACACACCAAGCAATTAATAGCCGAAAGAAAATCTTAATTAAAAGACCGTTTAATAATGCCCTGAAACAAAAATAATAAAAGAACAAGTGAATTATTACAAAAAGCAATACACTCGGAGAACTCATTTCCTCAAATTTGGAACACATGCCTTCCGGAGAGGTAAGGTAAAACAAACATTTAACTTATTGTTTTCAATGTAAAGTTCTTTAAACAGAGAAAGTCCAGAATATTCTTCAGCATGGGGGCATGTCTGGCGGCGGCGGTGGCAACATTTGACTTGAAGAGTTTCCATTCTTCACAATAAAAACTGTCTGCATGCCCCAAGATTGGTGGCGTTCTAGATGGCAGTGCATAAACCATACCCCTGCAATTGAAAATACATGCATGCAGTTCGTGTAAGAAAAATTACATAAGCTCTCCATTTTAAAATTTGAAAAAAAAAAGTTAAATATAAACTCGTATTTGGTGTTACATACCAGGATTCACAGCCACGAATCTAATGGCAGCCCATCCATTTATTGGCACAATCACAGTATTCAAGTAAGGAGGATCAACGAGATTGAAATTCAAGGGATCTTGACTTTGGTTAAAATTGCCTAATCCATATCCAACAACATGGAAACTGTACCCATGGAGATGGATAGGATGGTCTATCCCTCCAACAACGTTTGTTCCTTGGAAAACAATTTCAACTGTTGCACCATAGTTCAGCACATTAACCCTAGTCTCTTTCGTTGGTGTATTCAACGTTATAGGCAAAAGATCTGCAGTGAAGTTAAATGTAAAAGGTGGGAATCTGGGAAATCCCGGTTCGTATATCCCATTGATATGATAGTAATAGGCTTTTAGAATGTCAATGTCGGGGGTTTGAAAGCTTATGTTGTTCATGCTAGCAGAGAAAATGGTTCCATTTAGACCCTGGCAGTCGTTTCTGCCATTAGGGCATGGCAAAGTGTTGACAGAAATAGTGGTGACTATTTGAGTTGTGATGTTTGTTGGGACTGGACTGGGGGATCTCTCAGGCAAGCCTCTCAAGTTTGTGATGAAGTCCAAAGCTGCTTGTGTATCATTAAAGTCGGGGAGGTTGGGTAATGAAGGAGATGAAGGTGGAGTGTAATTGCCACTGTACTCTATTCTAGCAGTGGTTGTGGTGTTATCAAAGGCAACACCAAGCCCAGTTGAATATGCCCTTGCAGCTAGATAATAATGACCAGGTTCTTGGTTGGCGTGCAACAACACATCCATTGCTTGTCCTGGTGATATGCAAATGTAATCCCTTGTCAATGGCGTGGTGTATACAGCATCAGAACCAACAACAGTGAGGTTATGTTGGGAAACGGAGAAGAAGAGAATCAGATTCAGTGCCGCGTTAATAACTCGGAGATGATAAGTCCTCCCTTGTTCTACATTAAACTTGAACGTTTCTGAAAATTACAAGAAATTGTGGCGTTTAGAGCCAAACCTCAAAGTTACAAATGTTTGAAGTTGAAAGTTCATCATTAACTTCATCAACTTTGAACATTGATGCGTACCTGGAATTGAGCAAGGCAAGAGATCCCCGGGTTGACCATTTATAGTGAGAGCATCAGATATGTTTGGGGCTGCTCCGGTTTCAGAAGACTGTCTGAAGACCTCGTTGACATCATTAATCCACCACTCTCCTGCATATACATAAGTAAATAAAAACGTTGCATTTTTCCCACATACTTGCATCAGTATGTTCTAGCTATATTTGGTGAATTGCAGAAAAAAAAAACTGTTAAGGATAATTTTTCATACCAAATATGATGGGAATCTCGGCATCGGGTTGAGGAAAAGGGTAGGGAGTAGTCTTGGTTGGATAGACATAGATAGCACCATAGACAGTGGCTCTTAACCATTCACTGTGAGCATGCCACCATATGGTCCCTTCCTCAAAAGAAAAAATCAAGGTTTGTCTGAATTTCATACCAGGTTGGATGGGGCACTGAGTGATGTATGATGGACCATCTGTCCATGGATTCCTTGGCTGCTTCACTCCGTGCCTGTCCATAAATCGGTAATGGTTAATTTTCATCCACTCATAGGTTTCAAAATTGCTTAAGATAGAAAATTACCAGTGTAAAGTAATGTTGGAGTTTCCCTTGTTGTAAACATCAACGTAGATTGTGTCTCCTCTGTTGACTCTGATAGTTGGTCCTGGAAAGTTTCCATTCACTGTCAATATACTTTTTGTGGAACAAAGTCTGGTATACTGGGCTTCTCTAACCTGCAAGATTAATCAAACCCATTTAATCTCCCCTGCAAAATATGATAATTTTATAGAAAAAAAAAATGTTTTCCTGTGAAAAGGTATCCGTGTTGAAGAGTTATGCTGGGGAAAGTAAACAAAAGAACAGAAATTTATATTCATGAACGCCATGGCGAATAACATTTCACCACTTTCTGTTACTCACTTCAAAAGTGTAATGACTCTGTGTTTGGGAACTAAGAGTGATCAAGGAAAAACACCACAGAATTTGGATGAAAATATTCTTGCTGCACGACATTTTCACAAAAGAGAAAATGTTATGCAAGTCGTACTACAATGCTATTGGTAATAGTTAGTGTTACATATATAGGAAAAAGTTTTATGCACAATGCTATTGATTTGAGTATGCATGAATTAATTGTATTCTTCAAAAATTGGTGCGGCTTCATTGTCACATGTTTACCACTAATGTATAAGTCAACACGTCAATCTAGCCATTTAATCAATTGTAAGAAAATTGTAAAGGAAATTAAAGAGGAATTTGTCAAAAAGCAATCTGAGTTGAAGGTAGCGTACATATTGGAAACTGCTTTATTTGGTGAGTATGATACAGATTGTATTGCACCTCTTCGAAAACACTGCAACAACAGCTTTACTTAAAAACCCATAATAAATGGCTAACTTTGGAATGAGATTCCATCCTCCGAATAGTTAAGATTGCTTAATCAAAAAAGTGTTAACTTTCGATTATTCTTCGCTTCCCGATTCTGACTTCTGATTATGTTATGACTTCTATTTTACTGCTTTGTGTAATGCACACGTTTTTTTTCCGTATATGATTTATTATAATTAGTTGATGATGTTAAATTTATACTTTTCAAGAAAACTATCCCCAATGTCAACAAATCACTTACAATGTCAACTATCTATTGAATTAAGATATATTAAATATCGTAAAGAAAAATTATAAAGAAAACTTACATGGTTCTTATAAAGATTACAAGCGGTGGTGGATATACTCGTAAATCTAGTAATTTATTGACTTCATACCATAAATCAATTTTAACCAGTAAAACTAAGAAAAAAAATCATTTTCTTAAATCCAAATAATATAAAAACATGAACTAATAACTCATCATAAAGTTATATTGACTATAGTAGGATGCAACTTTTTCTATTAAAACACAGTACATGAGTTTAAACATGACGATTTGATTGTAATTTTACTTACATCACTTTTATCACAAAATAATTGACATATATATACCTTACAACGAAAAAATTAATTAATATTGTACATTTTCATTACATGCGTTAAATTCATCCCAAATGATAACACATCCTCCCTTTTCTTGCCCCAATACCAAATGGGGGTGTGGTGACCATTATTGCCTAATAGATTTTAAATAAATAAAAAATATAAATAGTGTGGCATCACTTAATAGATCGGAAGAGCAGCAGTTGAAGAAAAAAAAGCTAATTACTTGTAGTGGCCCCATTTGAGGAAGACAGCTGCAATTAGAGATAATAAGAATTACAAAACATTTTATAAGCTAATATTAGTTTTAGAACCATGTGCTTTGAGTTAAACTATTATATATTTAACGTGATTTTGATCTTAGGAAACAAACCTAATCCTCAACTAATTTGTCTCCTACTACCACATTAATGACTAATGAAGTTAAGTTACTGTGTCAAATAAGTATAATAAAAAAACAAAAAAGTGCACTTCTTGGTTGAAGTGTGTGTGAGAAGTGTTTGCAATTCTCTTTTCTGTAATGCCTTTGGGAGATTAAATCGTTAACCGTCCTAGTTAGTAGCTAGTATAGCTTTGCACATTGAAAAAATCGATGTCATCAATTTTAGCATGTTGCTTAACCAACTGTTTTCTCGATGTACAATTCTCATTTTTTTTATTTGAAAAAAAAAATTTAACACATTTTTTTTACGACATAACACTTATTTTCTTATTGAGGATCAGATTAGTCTAATGTGTACTTAATTTAGCAAATTTTCTCATTCTTCGATGGCTAACTTGTTTCGCTTAATCAAATTCAAACATATATATATTATATATATATATATATATATATATATATATCTGCTGACATATACTGCTGAATATCAACTTATATAAATTATATTTGCGTACAGAAACTGGTAAAGATTTACTATTACAACAAAAAGGATATTTATCTCACTTGTATAAAAGCTAGATAAAACATCCTCACACTTAGAGACACTTTTTTATAGGAAAAATAGTATTTTCCTGAAATACAAAACATATTTATAACACTGCCCTCACATATCTTACACACCAAATCTCAGAATAATTATTGAGGTTTAATTAGTAAACCTTGGAGATGCCAGGGCTCTGAGGGGGTTCTTCATCTCACAAGATAGTTTCAGAACCTCGGCTAGGTCAACTGGGTTAGCCATGTCTTGAAACCAATGAAAACGATGAACCAAGTTAGCCACCCAAAGGCTCACAGTCACAAGACCTAGGTTTTTACCGGGGCAAACCCTTCGTCCAGCTCCAAATGGTGCGAGTCTAAGGTCACCACCTCTGATATCCACTTCGACCCCTCCTTCACTCTTCACAAACCTCTCTGGTTTGAACACTAGTGGCTCGTGCCACACGCTAGGGTCATGAGTGATGGCCCACATGTTCACCATTGCTGTGGTGTTGGCTGGCACCACCATTCCATTGCTCAGATGGACATCTGACGTGGACAATCGGGCCCACGAAAGAAGAGGCCCAATTGGATGCAACCGCAGGGTTTCTTTCAATATGGCTTCTAAGTATGGCAATTTTATCACATCAGCATCTGTAACTACCATCTTCTTTCCCACAACCCTGCGGAGTTCATTGCGAAGCCTAGTTTGCACTTGCTTATTCAAAATAAGCTCGGCCATGACCCACTCAGTAAGAAGTGCTGTTGTATCCGTGCCACGAAATATCATCTCCTGCGTGCAATCAAGTTGTTTTAAAAATATTAATATAAGTTGTTTGTATACCAACCACACTACCGGATTATTAATTACAAGCTAATAAAATTTATTTAATAAGAGATGATTACCGTGACATTAGTGTCACCTTGGAGTGTGCTTAAATATTTATCTGGTTGTCTCTATTTTTTGTTTCTTTTTTATTTCTTTTGCTAAATAGAAAATGCAGATGAATAAAAAAATGTATCGATCTTCTAAAACATATAACATTCTGCCCAGTTAAATTTGGAGAATCTTTTATGTTTGGGTTATCATTTTTTAATTAGAGTCATGCGACACATTCCCGGATTTTATATACTTTAGTTACAGTAGGTTTTTCAAACACATGCACGTGTTAAAACATGCATGGGCAATAAACTTCCGTACGTTGTAGGGATGAAAGAAACACAAACCCATAAAACAGCAATGATGTCATCATCTTCGAGCTTGTCATGTTCTTCTAGAGAGAGCAGCACGTCCACGAAGTCCGAGTCATCAGAAAGTTCCTTGAATGGAGCCAATATTCGGTGCTCCTCCAGAATCCTCTTTACAAATTTCTTCACTCTCGGAGCAAGAACGGAGCACCGTTCTCGAACACGTAAAGGGTCATAAAAGAAGCGTATCCAAGGAACGTAATCAGACCAGTTGAAAGCTCCCAAAAGTTCAAAACCTTCCCGCACAATGTCGCGCACCTCTTCAATCTCACGCCGATTATAACACTCATCTTGGTCGTGGTACCTTCTTCCAAAGACAGTTCCCATAACGTTATTCAGCGCTGCATCTTGGAGGTGTTTTCTTAGGCACACGAACCCGTTTTTGGACTGCTCCTGAGCTATAGCCCGTAACATGGCAGCGCAGTCTAGCAAGCGACCTGGCTCGTGGGCAAGAATGCGGCGCGGGGAGAAGAGGTGTGTTGAGGCTACCCTCCGCAGCAAGCGCCAATACGCACCGTTTGGGGCAAACCCAATGGCACGGTTGAACATGAGGCTCTTAGCGGATTGTTTAACGGGACGGTCAGCGAAATGGTGCGAGTTCAAGATTTCACGCGCCACGTGAGGGTCGGAAGTTACAACTACTGGGCTTGACCCCAAACTGAAGGCCATGAGTTTCGTGGCGGATAGGGCTGAAGCAATGGAAGCGAGGGTGCGATGAGGTAGGGCATGGTTTAAGCTAAACAAGAGGCCGAAGAAAGGGACTCCTTTGGGCCCGGGTACAGGAACCCGGCCCATTTGGTTCTTTCCGTTTCTCCATGCAAGACCTCCTCCCCCTCTTGGGAAGGCCCACGCCAGAAGGGCAATGGAAAGAATTGCAGTGAGGATTATGAGCAAGAGTGGGTTGTGAGTTAAGTTTTGTGTTCCTGCTATGGCTGGAAGTGTAAACACCCACCAGCTAGTGTCTGATGATGAGGAAGGTAAGCCCATTACAGTGCAGAGGGAAATGGAAACAGAGTTTGAAGCAATAAGAGAGTGATGAAGATGGGATGGTTGTGAAGTGCAGGGAAGGGGCTCGGTATAAATAGGTGTGCTTTCGTGGTTGCATGGACTGGACAAGAAGCTTAGGTGAGTTTGAAGATATCGTGTATTTTAAAAGTACAAAAAGTGTGTCATGATGCGTGTAAGTGGGGTTAGAGATACGTGGCTTAATTTGGTGGTTATAAGGTTTCCTACTTATTGTTACACATAATAGCTTTCTACACTCTTCTAGAATGGCCGTAGCCTTAGCAGCTGCATATAATATGCAGTGGGAAAGGACCTATGCATTCGTATTACAGACATTTATTTAAGATTTTTTTATGTCTTTCTTTCTATATTGCATGCACAGATGCGGCCACAATAGTGGAGGAATTTGGAGCAACCGCCACTGCGCCCTTGAATGTCGGATCATGGAGCACAGGATTTTATTTTAGAGGGAGGCATGCATGGACGTGTGGTAGGGCGGGAAGCAAGGCTGCACATACGTGTGAACGTTGCTCGAGGCCTCGCCTCACGTGACTTCGGGCTATTCGAGAACATATGCATCGTATTCCGAAATAATCCAACGTAACTTCAATTCTTAACGACCCTAGTGGTCAAGTTTAAGTTAGAATATACGATCAGTCAAACAAGCAGAGAATAGGTTACGTCCCGAACTTTTCTTTTGCAATAAGCTTATACTTCACAACAAGATATTTATTTGTAGGTTTCCACCGACTTTTATAGGAAGAAATCACACTGCCCCGTCGATTTCAGATGATTCACGTTCAATTTATTTATCTACTTCATTTATGGTTAAATATTTATGAAGACAGAGCATATAGTGAAATTATTTATAATGAAAATAAATTTTACTTTAAATGTGAATAAATTATGTTACTAGTCA